AGATGACTTCCAAGGCCCCTTCCACCACCACCACCACCACCACCATCATCATCATCATCATCATCATCATCATCATCATCATCATCATCATCATCATCATCATCATTATTGCCTTCAGTATGTCCTGTTCCTCCTCCATTACTTTACCAAAATTGCAAATACTTGAGGACATGCTCTATGAAGATAGACAGAAGCAAAGTGAGGTATTCAGTTTGAAGAAAAGACAATTTAAGCTAGGCAGGGTCATGTTCAGATACATAAAATGAAACTAAAGAGACCTAAGATGCCACCAAGGATGTTGGCTGGCCAAAAGTCCTGGCCACGTCTCTTCCTTCCCATATGCAGCATTCACCCTTGTAGAAGCATTGAACTATAATATAGTTGGTTTGGTTTGGTTTTGATCTAGAGCAGTGTTTCTCAACCTTGAGAATTTTAAGCTGTGTGGACGTCAACTCCCAAAATTCCCTACCCAGCATCAATTACAGCTTAAGCTCGTGGGTGAAAGCCACTGTTGGAGAACGTCTTTCAGTGTTATTCCATTCACCTTGAAATAAACTCAACACACAACTCAGATTATGTCTTGGCATCAGGTCTGAGCCCCACTCATTGTGGCTTGTTCAGAAAAGTAGGGTTCACCAAAGTCTGCTTTCCACAGAATCCACACACAATTCTACATCTCAGGTCAGCTATGCTTGTTTTCTATCTTAGCCACTTGCAAAGGTTTACGGTTAAATGCTACACCTTAAAAACTTGAGAAAAAACAAAAGCATGGCAGATGTTTGGGGTTTTTTTTTCTCCTCCTGCCCACGCAGGAACTAACAATCATATTGAGAAACTGCTGCTAATCTGCTGTTGCTCAGATAAAAGCAGTCACCTGCATTTGCATGCACACACTTGGCAGGCCACCCATCTGCCACGGAGAAAACATTTTCCTGGAACAATAAGGATTAACTTGGAAACACGGCTGCTTTGCTGTCATCAGCAGTTCCATCAAATAAGCTCCTACCGCAACAGCTACAGATAGAGAGGTTGGTCTTTTACCCCAGGGGTCCCCAATCCCTGGTCCATGGACCTGTACCGGGCCGCGGCGTGCCAGCAACCAGTCCGCACAAACAAGCAAAGTCCCATCCGTGGGATGCAGGCAGCACACAAAACCACGTACCCTCCGGTCCGCGGAAAAACCTTTCTCCATGGAACGGGTCCCTGGTGCCCAAAAGGTTGGGGACCTGTTTTACCCCTCTGTTATTGCAACTTCATAATTATTGTGCTCTTTCCTACAACTACACAGATAGTCCTCAACTTAAATTGATCCCAAATTTTCACTGCTAAGCAAGACAGCTGTTCAGTGAATTTTCCATGTTGTTGTTGTTAGTTGTGGAGTTATGTCCGACTCATCGCGACCCCATGGGCAACGTTCTTCCAAGCCTTCCTGTCCTCTACCATCTTCTGGGGTCCATTTAAGCTCACGCCTACTGCTTCAGTGACTCCGTCCAGCCACCTCATTCTCTGTCATCCCCTTCTTCTCTTGCCCTCAATCTTTCCCAGCATTAGGCTCTTCTCCAGTGAGTCCTTCCTTCTCATTAGACGGCCAAACTACTTGAGTTTCAACTTCAGGATCTGGCCTTCTAAAGAGCAGTCGGGGTTGATCTCTTCTAGGACTGACCAGTTTGATCGCCTTGCAGTCCAGGGGACTCGCAGGAGTCTTCTCCAGCACCATAGTTCAAAGGCCTCCATTCTTTGGCGCTCAGCCTTTCTTATGGTCCAACTTTCACAGCCATGCATTGCAACTGGGAAAACCATGGCCTTGACTATACGTACTTTTGTTGGCAGGGTGATGTCTCTGCTTTTTAGTATGCTGTCTAGATTTGCCATAGCTTTCCTCCCCAGGAGCAAGCGTCTTCTAATTTCTTGGCTGCAGTCCCCATCTGCGGTGATCTTGGAGCCCAGGAAGATAAAGAAGAATTTTCCATATATGTATGCAAATACAGGTCACTGCTTTTCTCTGAGCAACATTTTAAGACCTTTTTTGGCACGGCTGTTAAGCAGATCGCTGCAGTTGTTAAGTTAGCAACATGGTTGTTAAGCGACTCGGGCTTCCCCATTGACTTTGCTTGTCAGGTGGTCATGAATGCGGATCACATGACCCCGGGACACTGCAACCGTCATGAATACCAGTCAGTTGCCAATTCTGATCACGTGACCACAGGGATGCTGCAACAGTTGTTAAGTGTGAAAAACGGCCATAAGTCGTTTTTTTTTCAGAGTTGCTGTAATTTCAAACAATCACTAAGCAAATGGTTATTAAGTCAAGGGCTACCTCTATGCACACGCAGCATTCAGATATTAACCTTTGTTTATTAAATAAGCCACAATTATCTGCATTCCCACAGCATACCAAACCAACAACACTGTAGCTTAACCTGTTAAAAGTTTTAAATGCTGGGTCTCAAAAATTATCAGCTGCGAGAGCAGAGTAGATAAATGGCAATTTTGAATGTCGCATATCCTCTTCCTTTAAAACTACGCACGGGAGAGAAATTAACTGAACTTGGTTACTGCCGTTTCTGTAATTACACAGAGATGGCACCAGATTGCTTAATTTTCTGCTTATCTCTGAAATGTGGTACTTGCTGACATAAGCTTGGCTAAGCAGATTATATGCACCATACAGTACTTATCTCTATTCAGTTAAAAGTCCACTGCAGATGAAAGTCAAAAACGCAAATGCCAAGGATTTCCATGCCACAAAAGAATAGCAGAAGAAGATATATGTGGACAGTTTAATAACCAACAGTAATAAATCCACAGGAACGTTAACAGATTGGTTTCATTAAACAAACTGTATGTTATGTAATTACAGCTTTTTATAAAAACTCTAAATTACAATACAGATCTAACAAAACCCGTTTCTAACAAATTGGCACTGTAAACCAAATTGAAATATGCCACTATAAATATTTTGTGTGTAGAGAAATATCTGACTTATAGACAAGTATACTTTTTTTTAAAAAAAAATGTGATATGGCTTTGTGTTACATCACAACGTAGCAACCCAGATTTCTCCCATTGGTCTCTAGGTTAGACATAAAATTTTCTACTACAGGGTTTCTGTTTTGCTTTTGCATATATGTATGGATGAATGATTTGTGTGTATATATGTAATTTTCATACATACAGAGTTTGTCTTGGGGTGGGTAGACATATTGAAAGTCCCAATTACATGCAACGTCAGAAAGCCAAAAAGAGCACTTTAAGATAGTTTAATCAAGGTACAACACCGACTTCATGTAGGTAACTCATCAACCAGATCATCCTAAAATTATTATACTGTTTGCCTGAAATATATGATTTATTCTCCATAGTAATATATTCTGAATAATTATTAAAATTTTATGAAATTGTCCAATAAAAAGGAACTTTCTTCATCAGAAGATAAATATTCTTCCTAAAAACTATAGGTCACAACTGATTTTCCACTATGCCACTTTTCAACTAACAGACCAAAATTTACTGGCAGATTCTTATTTCAGTCATGCTCAAACCAATTCTTCATTTGCAAGCAAATTATAAAAATCCATATGTTTATGGCTGGTTGTCCCAGATTTCAAAGCCAAAAATCTAAAGCATCCAACCTCAGCCGTAGACTTTACTACGTAACATCAAAATATTAATTTTGGTTTCTAGTTCTTCAGAAGAAATAAAGAGATACAAAGGCAAAGAAATTGTGGCTTAAATCTAGTTTTTAATACTGTACCTTTTGTGATGACTTTTACCCACATCAAAGATAGGTGTCTGCCAGATGTTTTCGGTTTCATATTCTTGCCATTGAGAAGAAATTTATGAATACAGGTCCCAGGTTAATATTACAGGATCCAATCTGGGTCAGGTCACCGGGACCAGAAGTTTAGTCTTCCAAGCTTTCCGAGCCCATCCTCAAGAAACTTCTGTCTCACCAAAATGAAGTTGGGTTCTAGCACACGTCTGAAAGCTCAGAAGACTAAACCTTTGGTCCTGATGATTGAACCAGATTGGAACCAGAAATTTATAAGGTGTTCAGACACTTGGGAAACAAGTTGTCTATCTCTCTCCTTCATTTAATCCAGGTTTTATACGCCTAGGAACTGACCACAAGATCTCATGTATTGCTAGTTTCTCCTTATCCTAGTTTACCTTTCTTCACAATTCAAAACATCCCATCAACAAGTTTTGTACCTGTGAAGCAGCACAGATTACAAAGGCTAGTTTTATACCAACAATCCCCCATTGGATTGTACGTTTGATTGTATCTTTCATAACCACAAGTATTTCAATGGGACATTGTGAAAGAGCCATATATCTATCAGGAAGATACGTCAAGATGAAACCGAAACCAGATCCTCACCATTTTAAGATCTGGGAATTGCAAATCTTTGTTTTCTTTTTCTCATAAATATCTACCCTGATGTCTACTGATTTGATTATTATTTTTTTTTTGAGTTTTCTATAAGCCCTTTCTCTTTCAGCAAAGCAAAGCAATCACAAAGAAGTTTCTACAGGACATTTATTTAGTAGAGTTAAGATTCAGGTTAATCAAACAGCCTTTTGAAGACGGCAACACGTTACTTGAGATACTCTGGAGGACCAATAGGAAAGCTTCCAAAATCAGTCACATAGCCTCGAAGAAATTAAATATACACTTCTACAATACAGGACCTATATCAAAGCATATGAAAGTTGACCAATCGTTGCAAACACAGGTGGGTCCTGCCCCAAAGTCTTCAGTTAAACAAATGGTGGTTCATCCTGGATAAAATCCTTCTATCTCGGAGTACTATTTAAAGCTAAATGTCCAAAAACTGGTTACACGTAAGAGCCAATACCAATTCAAGTTTGTATTAAGAGACAACTTATTAAAAAAAAGTTCTGTTATCCCTGCAGCATTTTTTTTTTTAAGATAAGGAATTAAAATCCTGGAAAAGGGAAAGGGGTGAATACTAAGGTAACCAATTCAGGGATCGTTAACTTTACAAATTGTGAACATGATCGTGTTGTTTTTTTTTGTTTTGTTTTGTTTTTTTAATTCTTTTGAAAACTCAAGTAGATAAATTTCCTGATGCTCCTTTGGGAGTGTCAGTCAGGACAGTTAAGAAACGGCATTGTGGATGCTACGTTCAGTGAGGAACCTGCCCAAACATCAAGGGATCTGTAAACAACTCCTTGGAAATATCTTGGCGAGAAAAACCCTAGCGGAAACGAAACAGTGATAGAAGAATCCAAGTCTGTCTTCATGAAAAGAGTCGTGCCAAAGCTGACCCCAACAGCTCCAATAGCCGATACTGCATTAAATGCAGATGTTACAGGTCGGAGCTCAAAGCCCTCCGTTCCGTTTATATCTTACGTTTATTGCTTTGTGGCCTTTGGGCTGCAAGATTAAAAAGGATAAGGCAGTTGAGTCTTCCCGAAGGGTGGAAAAATTAGGCACTCTGACAATTCACACAGGGCTTGTTCTCCTCCCGCCTGTAGCTTTGGAGCTGGATGGAGCATTGATAGATGCCGAAGGTAGTCAGCAGCAATTGCCTGGCCTTGGATTGGATCTCCTCCCACTTGGGTGAACTACCAGGAACTGAAAGAGAAGAAAGCCACAAAAAAAACCCCAAAAATTAAAACAACTGTTTGTCAATTTCTTGCGATGCCTCTATGGAAGACAGTTCTCCAGATGAATAACCCAAACTATCATATTTTGACTCTAATAGCCCAATACAAGGATTACTTGAATGTCACCACATTTCCTTCCAGAAGAATGACCAAGAAGAACTACTTTTTCTCCAAGAGAGAAGCAACCTAGAACTAAGGAGAAACTTCCTGACAGTTAGAACAATTAACCAGTGGAACCACCTGCCTCCAGAAGCGGTGAACGCGCCAACACTGGAAGTTTTTAAGAAGAGACTGGACAGCCATTTGTCCGAAATGGTATAGGGTTTCCTGCCTGAGCAGGGGGTTGGACTAGATGACCTCCAAGATCCCTTCCAACTATATCATTATTATTATTAAGTTGATCAGGACCCCCCAAATAAAACATCTGTTGAAGGCAGCAAATCAGAAATCTCCAGCCCTACCAGCAATGTATTGTGAGTTACAGTCTGGGTGCATTCCTGACCCTGGCTGGAGATCTAATTAGTAGATCATTTGGGTATACATACAGTATGTATGCATGCCTCAGATGCCTTAATAGCTCTGCTATTATCTTGACAAATGCTTTCGACTGAGGGAAGCAGCTTAAATGGGAATTGATTGTTGTTATAAGCAAACCTGAGGGAGTCCCCAGTGGGTTGATCTGTTGGGAATACACAAGCAAATTTCCAACAGTTTATTGATTTGTCTGCTAGGATTGTCTCGGCAGTTGATTTTAGGGTTTCTACCTTGAATATCCTCTATTTAATGAACCAATTGAGGAGCTTTTCAAGTTCAGAATTGTTCTCCAATTGCTCTCTCCTGTTCTTGAGAATGATGGGAAAAAATGGAAATATGATAGATGGATGGATGGATGGATGGATGGATGGATGGATGGATGGATGGATGGATGGATGGATGGATGGATGCCAGGTAGGTAAGATAGATAGATAGATAGATAGATAGATAGATAGATAGATAGATAGATAGATAGATAGATAGATAGATAGATAGATAGATAGATAGATAGATAGATAGATAGATAGATAGATAGATAAGATAGATGATAGACAGACAGACAGACAACCTTTATTGTCATTTTTTACTGTAGGCAGAATGCCACACATTAAAAATGAAATTTAGTTGCTTGCTCTCAACGTGTACATAATACATACATAACACACATTTAAACATATTATATACAACATATGTATAGACCTATACCATTACATATAAGTAACATATAAATATTAATAAATATTAATCACTGTCCATCTTGAATACATAACAGAAGGAGGAAGCTTTAGAGTTCACAAGGTTAATACTGTACAGAACAAAACAGTGACTGAATCTGGATGTTCTGCTTCGGATACCACAAAGCCCCCTCCTCCCAGAAGGTAACCAGGTTGTGAAGAGGACGTGTAGCGTCCCAGATAATCTTGTGGACCCTGCTCAAGCAACGCTTCTGTGCCATGTTCTGGATGGAAGGGAGGGAACTGCCAATGATCTTTTCAGCCATCCTCACCACTCTCTGCACCGCCTTCCTGTCTGAAACATTAATGCTTCTAAATCTACATTTTTCCCATAGATGCATTCTCTATGGGGGTTGTTGTGATATAGGAGCAACTGATAGCTTGAAGAACTTTCACAAAGCCAAGGATTGAAGGATTGTTCATAAGGAAACTCTTTGTAGCCCTGCATTCTTACTAGAAGAGGATTTAGTTTCAACCTGTCAGCTCCATCAAGAGACCGAGAACTGCAGAGCCCAATCACGGTCAAGCCATCAATCACTGCCAATCCATGATCAGTTCACAGGCCAACTTCCTACAGAAGCAAACATCACCTTGTCCAATCACTCAGGTGTCACTCTGACCCATGAGTTGCCAAATCTTCATCTCTGTATCCCAGTGGGGGGGGGGAATACAATTCAATCTAAATGTTTCTTTAAAAAATAATTTTTGACTTGAAACGATCAATTAATTTATTTCTTCCCATCCCTTGCCTGATTTGTGTTTTTGGATTGTGAGCTTTTGATTAAAGCCGTTATCTTTTATTTTACTTTACAGATATTATCTAATAACCAGGTACTGCCTGAAGCAAGTATTGTAGAAGCAATGGATCATTTTACCTAGTTGTAGGTGGACAATGGCAATTGTTTTTCCTGAAGTTAGAGACCAGACATACAGGTTTTCCACTGAAAATACATCTTCAATTTTCATCAACTCTTCTTTAATAAGGTCCATGTTTAAATGCCTTGGAACTCCTACAAGTGAAACAAAGAACCAGGAACAGAGTTTTCTGTTTAAACTTGAAAAATATATGCCACACATGAACAAGCTGTAAAACGATTAAAAATAAAACAAACGTTTCTGAGCATTTGAACATCAGCAAAGTTTTGGAATATCTTGTGACTTAGCAAGTGTCTTGCTTAGCAACAGAAATTTTGGGCTCAGTTGTGGTTGTAAATTGAGGATTAACTGCTATCTAACAAAATGAAATTCAATGGTGAAAAAAGTAAGGTTCTACATTTAGGCAAGAAAAACCAAATGTACAGGTATAGTATAGGGGGTACCTTGCTCAACAGTAGTAACTGTGAGAGGGACCTCGGAGTCCTAGTGGACAATCACTTAAATATGAGCCAGCAGTGTGCTGCAGCTGCCAAAAAGGCCAACACAGTGCTAGGCTGCATTAACAGAGGGATAGAATCAAGATCACATGAAGTATTAATACCACTTTACAATGCCTTGGTAAGGCCACACTTGGAATACTGCATCCAGTTTTGGTCACCACAATGTAAAAAAGAAGTTGAGACTCTAGAAAGAGTACAGAGAAGAGCAACAAAGATGATTAGGGGACTGGAGGCTAAAACATATAAGGAACAGTTGCTGGAATTGGTTATATCTAGTTTAATGAAGAGAAGGACGAGGGGGGACATGATAGCAGTGTTCCAATATCTCAGGGGCTGCCACAAAGAAGACGGAGTCAAACTATTCTCCAAGTGCCTGAAGGCAGGACAAGAAGCAACGGATGGAAACTAATCAAGGAGAGAAGCAACCTAGAACTAAGGAGAAACTTCCTGACAGTGAGAACAATTAACCAGTGGAACAACCTGCCTCCAGAAGCGGTGAATGCTCCAACACTGGAGGTTTTTAAGAAGAGAATGGACAGCCATTTGTCTGAAATGGTATAGGGTTTCCTGCCTGAGCAGGGGGTTGGACTAGATGACCTCCAAGGTCCCTTCCAACTTTATTATTATTGTTGTTGTTGTACTCAGTAGCATGTGTCCTTCTAAATCATCAAGTTATTGATGAAAATTATTAAGAGTGTGTGTCTCATTTTAAAAAGCCCTCTGAATTCTATCTCTTCCCAGTCATCAACAGCTCTTACCTTCAAGTACAATTATTCCGGTGTCCCGTATGATCCGAAAGGTTGTAAAAGCCACAAGAACTGAAAATATGTAGGTACATATGGGATCAGCAATCTTATATTCTGGCTGAAACGAAAAAGATGAAAGCCTCGTAACAAAGTCCCTGGCTATAAATATTTTGAAGGCTTAGAAACGGGGGTCGTGGGAAGAATGCCATCAGTCAACATTTTAAGGATGGATGCAAGAATCGGTGCCAAGTCAACAGGACTGCCATAGTTATTCGTTTCCTACTCTATCCGTTCAATTTTTCACTAAATCGGGCGTCTGTTTTTCCACAACAACTAAACAACCACAGTTAATTTGGGGAATATTTTTTTGCAATAACTTATATGCCGCCCTTCTCCCCACGGGACTCAGGGCGGCTCACAGCATGTTAAAAACAACACAAAAAACATTTCCCCTATAAAAGCCAATTAAAAACCAAATATATTTATGGCTGTGTCATTATTAAAATCTTTAAAAATTTTCCCTATTTAAAATTCACCCTAGGTCAGTCCCGCTTGCTGAAAAAGCCATGTCTTGAGGGCGCGGCGGAAGGTTAGGAGATCCGGGATCGTCCGGATCTCGGGGGGTAGTTCGTTCCAGAGGGTGGGGGCACCCACAGAGAA